TCAAAACAGCACACAAAAACAACAACAACAACGTCAGCAACACCAGCAAAGACAAAAGATCGCGATGATGACGTCAACAAAACTAACAAAGAACTAGTGACAGAGCTAGATAGAAAAAGTAAAACTTTTCATTGAAACTTACGGAATTTGGAATTTTATTGGAATTACGTCATAGAATTTTATATTTATGTAGCGTCTAATTTTATTAAGATCTCCCGAACCTCAGTCGAGCGTCGACTTTCCAGGCAATTCTAGCAGCAAATTTTACTTGCTTTATTTTCGATTTACCGCTACCGAACAACCATTGGAGTGATATTTGTCTTTGTGTGCCAGCTACGCTTTCAGAATTTCAATTTAAGGATCGATATATTTGCTAATTTTTTCACACACCTTTTGCTTTATGACATTCAGTTAATTAGATACAGATACACAAATCTATCAGATATATCTGTCAGATACATACATCTATCAGATACACAAATCTATCAGATACATCTATCAGATACACACATCTATCAATACATCTATCAGATACACACACCTATCAGATACATCTATCAGATATATCTATCAGATACACACACCTATCAGATACATCTATCAGATACACACATCTATCATTAAAAGTATTTTCGTTGTTGGACTTTTACATTGCAGTACAGTCACAAGATGAGAAGATTGGCATAAGTAATTTTATTCTTTTTGATTTTATTATTATTATTATCTGTATGTATGTATCATAAATTATTATTAATAATTTATTCTATTCTTATTGTTTTAATTATCATTATTAATTTATTCTTAATTATTTCTAAGGAGTCTCAAAAACATCACACACATACACACACACACACACACACACATATATATATATATATATAATATATATATACACAAGCACGGACGCGCACACACACACACACACACACACACACACATGTGAATCTATGTATCACACACACATTGCATGTGGGAGAAGCAGACGAGGATCTGCAGTCGAATTCGGTTCCACTGTGACGACTGGACACCAAGCGCTTTACACCATTACGCCACCAATTAAAATAATTAATTGAACAATTAATAAATTAATCGTGGAACTATTATTTTTGTCTTTTAAATGAGAAATGAATTTAATTAATTAGTTTAATTTTATGTTGTTTTTTTTTTAAAGTTTTACAAGTACTTGATAAAATTCCATCGAATACGATCATTCCGAAGAAAAAAGGTATGAAATGAATGAATGAATGAATGATTGAATGAACGAATGAATGAATTAAGTAATAAATGAACGAATGCATTAATTAATCAATGCCAGAATGAATGCGTGAATGAATTGTGATATTAATGAACTGATGAATGATTTAATGAATTAATGGATGAGTGGGTGAACGAAAAATTAAATATATGAATGAATGAATAAACGAACGAACGAATGAATAGAGGCTAGAAGGAATGAAATGGATGTACGATCAATCAAACCAATCATTTTCAATTGATTATTTTAAAATATATTTATTTTTTTTTTAAAAAAGCCAACTCTATATTTTATCATTCTCCAGACGGTGAGTTTCTCCAGAAAACAACAGAATATAAAATATTTCCAAGAAGTAAAAGCTATCATTCACTAAAAATTAACCAAAAATTACTAGTTATAATTAACACTAATTAGCCCTACTAATTAACACTATTACAGATTAACATTAATTAACTCTAATTAATAATTAACATTAATTACTAATTAACACTAACTGCTAATTAACAGTGATTACAAATTAACACTAATTGTTAATTAATATTAACAACCAATTAAAACTAATTACTAATAGTTATTAATACTAGCTGACACTAATTAATATTAATTAATAATTATTGTTAAAGGTACTTTGTGATATCTGGCTAATAATTGATAAAGATTAATAGTATTATTGTTATTATTAATAATGTTGTTATTATTATTCTAGCTCAGTCTATGAGCCAATGAAAATTAATTATACTGAACTCCATTCATTTTCAACTCAGTAGCTAATAAAATTTCGACTACTCATTAACATATTAGTCAATTAATATTCATAATCATCTCAACTCCGTCCACATTCAGCTCGAGGATCAATAAACGATCGGAACGTCTTGACAGAGGTTCCTCAACATCTGCAGGACAGACAGAAAGATAAATTATTACAACTGGAGGAGTACAAGCGCCGCGAACGATTGAGATGGAGGGAAAAAATGATGAAAGAGAAGAAATTGAGAGATAGAGAGAAATTGAAGAGGAAAATGAGAGATGAGGGTGAGTTGAGAGAGAGGGAATTAAAGAATTTGATTGGGACGCCCCCTGTTTTGGTGGTCCAATCACCCGTCGGCACCCCGCAACCAGTTGCCACACCCGCCCCTCTTTACCAGGAACAACAACAGCAACATCTTGCAACAACTCAGCAACTGCAACCGCAACAAGTGATACCGCAACAGCAACAAATATTGCAACAACCACAACTTCAAATATTTCAACAACCACAGCAGATCCAACAACTCATGCAGCAACAACAGCCGCAACAACAACTACAACAAACACTACAACCACAAATTTTTCAGATTGCGCCAACACAACAACCACTACTACAGCAACCATTATTACAGCCACAATTCGTGCGGCAACAGCCACAACAAAATTTTCCTCAGCTAACCATCCTGCCACAACAGCAACTGCAGCAACAACCTCTGCCACTGCAGCAATCACAACAGCTACAACTACAACATTCGCCGATATTAGGAAACATCCTCTCCTTGCAGCAACAGCAGCAGCAGCAGCAACAACAACAACAACCACAAACTTCAAAAAACATGAGATACATCATCTCCCCTCAACCAATTTACATAAAACCCCACAGGAACCTACTCCCCGGCAGACCCACCACAAGGGGGGGCATGGGGTCGTCCAACATCACGGTGGGCAGCGAGTTCAACAGCTCGACATCAACCTCCCAAAACAACAACCTGATAAACGACCAATATGTCGACTTTAGCATTCCAGTTGCGACCAATAGAAAGCACCTATCGAACGAAGACAAGTATAAAAAGATGAAGATGGAATCCAGTGGGATGAAGTATGGCGACTATGACTTTTTTGACGGCCGAATAGGAGGACCTTTATCGACATCCCCTCCCAGGTCGCCAAGACCACAACCCCTACCGCGGCATCGCCCTCATCACCCCCAACAGCCTCGCTACTTACAGAAACCGCCATATTCGCCGACGACAACAGTAACGTCCCAACAGCAGCTTCGCCATCCATTTCCGCCGGCAGACGACTCGAAGCCAACTTCGGCGCAGGAAAAATTAGCAAGCGCCAAACAAATGCTGGCGGAGATCCACAAAAAGATTGATCAGAGGAAAAAACAAACCGCGAAGAAAAAGATGACCGTAACCTTTCCAGGCAACAAATCAAAAACTGGCCAGAAGAGGAAGAATGCTCTGAAGAGAAATAGTGAGTAGAATAATAATACACTAATCTTCACTGCTGTTTTGCCAGTAGTATAGTAGTAGCAGTAGTCGTTGTGGTAGTAGTCGTCGTGGTAGTAGCAGCAGTCGTTATAGTGGTAGCGTTTCTTGTAGTGGTAGTCATTATTCTTATAATAAATTATTAAATAAATTTTATCGTTGAAATTAGCGCATTTGTTTTAATTTAATAAATTATTCAAATTAATTAAATGGAACTGATTTTTATTTAGAATTTTTTTTATAAGAATATATAAATTCCGGCGTTAAGATGGCGAAATGGTTAAAATGCCTGGCTCCACTGATGCAGTGACCAGATTCGACTGCAAACAGACCCCCGTCATATCACATGCGATGCGTGTCGTCGCTGCTGGCACCTCTGACACGCTTTCCAAAAAATAATAATAATGATATAACTAATATTAGTATAATTAACAACATTAATAATTAAATATTATGAAATTATTTTTCCAGAAGATTCCAGGAGCGTAGCACTAAGCACAACATCAAGCGAAGTTTACATATGAAATATGCAGACACATACTTATTAATAAATTATTATATAAAATATCAGGGTCAGATTTAAGAGGGCATAGAGGACGGGGCCACAAAATTTAAAGGGGGCTGGCAGGGTGGGACCCCTACTTCGGATCTCCATAAAAAAAAGTGACCACTACAAGAACATAACGCTTTAAAAATTTGCGTAATTTTAGATAAATGAAATGTCACCAAATATTTTTAATGCAAGTTATTGAGTCTATTGGCAGAATAAAACTTCTATAGAATTTTCTACTTTAACCAACTAATTTGGCACCTTCTCACTGATCAGTGACCTCGTAAGTTTGACCCTGAATGATATTATCATGACAATAATTAAGACGACTATAATAAAAATTATAATCCGTTATAATTATAATCATTATTCCTAATAAGAATAACAATAAAATGAATTAATTATAAGAGTTTTATTTATTTCCAAAGAAGGCTTAACTTGAAAAATGTCACGAGGAATTAACATTCATTGAATGGATAAAAATGAATAATTGTCGTGAAAATGGAAAATTTCACCTGAAATTTGCACTGGGGATTGGTTCTTGGTAGTAGCTAACTTTGTCCGAATCTGACGACGGACCACCGAAAAAAAATTTCCATCTCTCTAATCCGAATCTGTCCTCAACAAAACTTCTATTCCGCAAAACGTCATTTCGACCCTGGCTTACTGTTTCCGAAATATGACACTCCAGTCTCAAATACCAACCTCACATGAGTTTAAACTTACTTTTGGAGTCTTTAAATTTTTTAAATTTTCAATTAAATTTGAATATATTCAAATTTGTGTAATATATGTGTAATATAAAATTTCATTTAAAATATGTTCCCCCCTTAAATTTTAACTCTAATATAGAAACTAACCCTAACCCTCCAAAACTTTCAACCAGCCCCCAACTTCAACCATTCCCTGTTACCTCAATCTCGTGTAACGTTTGAGTGATTTATATAGCACTACATTGCATTACACATATTTTTTGTTTCCAAAAAGAATTCTCCGATAAACTGCAGTAGAAATAATGATACAAATAGTGAAACCGAATATTTCAAATACGTATTCCATCAATATGCATCAGTAAAACAATTTAAATAACAGTTATAGTAACAAATAATAAAAGTAATAATAATAATAATAAACTATAATAACGATTGTATCGTTTTGAAAAAATAAAAAATGAAGCCAAACAGACAGACAAAGAAAGAGAGCAAGAAAGCCATTCAGCACTTTCTTAAATAAAGGCTATCTCCAGAAATGATTGAAAAATAGCCAATCTCTTTGAAGGGATCATCAATTGGGATTTCCAATTCTCTACCAGGCGCTATAAATAGATCCAAACTCCCAGCACCTGCGCTATTTTTATCTCCTGAGACACTATTTTTATCTTCGAGAGTGCTTTCCTTATCCCGGTTTTCCCCGCTATTTTTAGCAAATAAGGGACTGGAGTATGACAGTTTGAAAGAATCCGGATCGGGTGAGACGATTCCTAATTTCCGGATTTCCTCTTTGAAAATTCTCTTCACTAGCATCATCATCAGCCTCCCGGCTGTCATCGAGGGTGGCAACTTTTTTTCAACTATCTTCGCCACTTTTTCTCCTGTTGCAGTGCCGTCTAGTTTGATTAGTGTAGTAATTTGGCAATCAATAGAATCAATCAATATATCTATCTATCTATCTATCTATCTATCTATCTATCTATCTATCTATCTATCTATCTATCTATCAATCAAAAAACAAAGAATCACACACACGGACCACCAACAATCCAACCACCATTACCTTTATTTTCATCATCATTGGCAACGAGGGCGATAAAGACGTGTAGCAACTCAGACTTAATATCGTTCGTCTTCACCTCCAGCATACCCTTATCCGGCTTTCCAAATTTTTCTATCAGTTCAATGTAGCGTGGGTGATCCGTCAGAAATTCGGCGTCTGGGGTCCTATCACCTTTTTCCAACGAAAGTTAAACACAAACTCAATACAAA